TCAGGGAAAAATGTGCCAGATATTGTTTCATGGTTTTTGTTCTTTTGTTTCAAGTTATCCGTGTCCGGTACACGAAGTAAATGCCTAACATTTTATACCAATTTAGGCCCAAAGCTATCGTTTCTCCGCTGACTGTAGTACTCACAGTTTAGCTACTTGCAAAAGTTTGTTGTTGATGGTCACATTCGGCAACATTGGTCGGGATATAACTTTGCCAGCCTGAGATTTATTTCTTTTCGGAGAAGAAGATCTAAAAAAATATATCAAAATTTGTCGTTATTTAGATATTTATAAATCATTTCAGAGCTATAACGCGTGGATGTATGATACTTTTATTGTTCTTGTTTGTTTGTTTGTTTGTTTTTTTTCATTACAAAACCATTTTTTCCTGTCTAGTCTTATGTTGCCTAGCCCCTGTACGGCGTCCTCCCAGGCCTTCCCGGTCAACGCATTTCGCTGACACGAGACGAACGGCTCAAAACCTCGCTCAGACCACATGATCCAAAACGCATCTGCCACGCGCAATTATGAGGCCTAGGGACGAAAAAATGTCTTACCTAGGCTAGTAGTAGGTAATTTGCGACTGAATTAAACAGCCCAAGCTGTTGTAGGTGCTACTTGAAAAGCCTTTTTGTGAAACAACCTCATCCCTGGGGGGTTTCTTCTTAGAAAATGAGAAATCGAATTATCAAACGTTCATACTCGACTACAAGGTTGAAGAAAATAAAACAAAAGAAATATATCGCACTTAATTTTTTTGTAGTTGTTGTTATTTTTCTCATGATCAGTCAAATACGAATTTTGATACGTCCTTTTCAAAATTTTACTGCTTGTAAACCCTCTATTGTAATGAATACCTAAAGTAATGATAGCAGTTGAGAACTAGTTTAGATTAATCCCTACCTTGAAACTGCAACACAGCTTCCGAATAAAGCTATCAGGGCAATAATAACCTCCACCTTCATAACTGAAGCCAAGAATAAACGTCCCTTAACGCGACTCTGGCAAATGTAATGCAAAAAATATCACTCGGAAATCGCTTCGAGTTTCAGAAGAACAGTCTAGGGAATTAGGCAATGTTATAATATTAGTAAAGCCTTCCTTATTTATGTGCAACGATAAGCCATTAATCTACACTCAAGTTCTTGTTCATTTTTCGTATAAAGTGATCTCACACAAGATGGCCGCTCCCACTTTCACTCACGTAAGCTATAGCTATCTATGCTATGACAAAAAGAGAGTAGCCACGAGCCCACTAGAGTGCAAAGATTATGTTGCTTTCCGTCTAGTCTGGCTTCAACGTACCTGTCAGATGAGCTCAAAAATTGGAGTTCTTTACTTCCTGAGATGTAGAAAAAAACTGAAGAAAGGTACGTTAGTACAATCTCTTTAAAAGTATGTGGGTTGTTTTCACATATTTTGCTCTCTTTATTTCGCTCAACAAAGAAAATTTTTGTTCACATAATACATTTTTGCGGTTAATTATACAGCTATTGTACTTAGCAATGATTGCTTTGTATGGATAGCCTACAGTTTCTGACAATTATTACGTAATAAATTACATAATCCCTTTTGTCAGCATTCAGCAATTTTAGTTTTTAGTATTGTCATCTTTAGTACTTGTTCGAAATTAAAGAAGCCTTCTTTGTTCTTTTGGGGCAGATTCATTTGTAATATGGCGCATGTAGCCGTCGCATTTGGCTGTTTTTTTTGTTGTTGTTGTTGTGAAAATAATAAAACAAATTCCAAGGAAAAAATTGGAAAAGGTGACAGGCATTACATATAACAATTTTTCACCTTCATTTGGTCCTGTTTCTCGCAAGTCGGTGGTCACTGGCTCCATTGTTATTACAGGTGCATTGAAAATAATATGACGAACCTTTTCGGTCTGAACGCGATGGCCATATAATATAAGAAACTTTAAGAAGAAACTTTGATACAATCCAATTTTACTTGTGGTAAATATTTTTTTATGAATAAGCTCCATTGGAACCTAACTGTTCTTTGAAAAGAAAATTGCCATCTAGAAAAATTTAATCTGGCTATTATTTTTTTCTTAAATTTCTGATATCAGCTTTTACTGCTGTAATAACTTATGCCAAATAAAGTCAGGGAAAGCGTAGGACAAAAGTCCAATAACTAGAGAGTTACTCATAAATCAGCAATGAAATTGTGAATCTCGAAAACGAATTATTTTCACTTTGTCGGGCATTGTGGCGCAATAAATAAATAAAAAAACTTTTTGGACACAAACTTTCGATTCCATCGCGGAATCTTTATCAAGAGGTGGGTTTGGGCGTCACGTGATTTATACTGCGAATCAATGACAAAACGTCTCGATAGATCGCGGGGAGCTCGTAACCAGCGTCTCTGGTGACAAAACGTTACAAAACGCCCAAATCCATCACTTGATAAAGATTCGGCGATGGAATCGAAAGCTTGTGTACAAAAAGTTTTTTTTCCTATCCTGTTAATTTAATCGTCGCTTATCATATAAACTTCAATCTATTGCTTTGAGTTGTTATGAGGTAGGGGTTTGCGCGGGGAGGGGGGGGGGGGGGTTTTTTGTTAAGGTTTTGGCCTTTTTTGGGGAATTATCAGTTCCCCCACTCCTCAAAAAAAAATTTTCTCGTAAAGTTTTTTATATAATAACTCCGAAAGTGGTAATATTAAAGGCCGGTTTTTTTTGTAAAAAGGCAGATAAAC